GGGAATTTTAGCTTTCATTTATAAACAAAGTATGCCCCTAGCCCTCAAGGTTTTGTGGATGAAAGGTTTGAAACCATGAAACTAGTGCAACCTAAAAGCTAAAAAGAACCTGGGAGGTGAATTAAGAGATCCTAAAGTTTGTGGGCTAATTTTAAAAAAATTTAAGAAAAGAAATAGTCAGCAAACAACTTTGTCTTGGGAAACGGGGCAGGGCTTGGGCTGACTCCTGGTTTTTTGGGACTTGGGGTTGCCAATATGCCTTTGAACTTTGCAGCCATTCATAAATCCTTACATAACAACAGCAGCCACAACGCGCTGGAGCTCTAGAAATGCTGACATGAGGAAAGTGGTGGGAAAGATTATTTTAGAAACGTATGACAACTCACCTTGAAGCATTACCTGAAGCCTCAACAACTCATATCCCCTTGGAAAAGGAGCATCTTTCTGCTCTGGGAACTCATTTTGCTCTGTAGTAAACCTTTTGTAGGTGAAGAAAAATTCAAAGGATCCACAAGATCACAGAACTGTACTGAAAGAGGTTGAATACATGGCTTGGTCCCTTCCATTTCAGGAAAGTGATTCTTTGTTTCAGTGGGTGGTCTTTGCTGAAAGCCTCGAGGACCAAATAAGAGCAAATGTGAGTTTCAAAACCCTCATAAGCATCACTCTGCTTTATCCTGTCTGCGTCTTCAGGCTCATTCACAGGCAATCAAGACACCACAGTGGCTCTAGTTGGGGTACCAGCTGACCCACCCCAACGCCCTGCTCACACCTCCCTGCTCCTGCTGAGCCAGCATCCACTCTCTCAGACCACCTGCATGGTGCTTTCAGCAAACAGAATGTACTTCCCACTTTGCCTGGCTGACAGGCGATTAATGACAGTCAGCTCATGCCATTCCTTGCTATGGTGTGCACATGCCCCACATGCAGAGAGATGGAGCAGCTCCTGGAAGGAACATAGCCAAACAATATTTCTGAGGGGTTTCTTCTGGGTTTTTCCCTCCTTTCACCAGGCTGGCAGAGCCCGGTGCTCCCTCACACTGCTCATATCTCCTGCTGTTTTAAACAAGTATTTAACTTACCTTAGTGCTCAAGTAGTTTTCAATTCAACCAGGCTCTCTCACTGCTGGTTTTAAGATCAGACCCCACAGAAGGGGTTTGGGAAGAGATGTGCTGGTGGCTGAACTACAGCAGCAGCCTGTGAAACAGTACCTGCCTCTGCAGGAAGAGAAAACAGAGGAGCATGTAACTCACAGCTTGTGAACAAGCAGGCACAGGGACATCAGCCTGCTGATATCTTGGAAGACTAATATCCAGCATATCCATCCTGGCTGAGTTAATCTTTCCCAGCTGGAATCACACACTGGAATAGCTCAGCTGGAATGGTGCTGATCCCCATTAGCATCAGGACAGACCTGGGCTGCTCTTGCTGTTGGTCTCAGTGTTCTTTCTTCTCACTCTGCTATTGAGCACACCTGTTTGAGGTCTCCCTTCTTTCCAGAGACTCTGTGGATTGTGGCAAGGGCACCGTGGGGAACACTGACACCAGTCCCTGTGAGTGTCTTTGTGCAGCCATGTCTTGGCAAGCTTGTCACCACAGTTTCCACCTACAGACAGTGCTGTGGGAGGTGACAGTGAACAGGGCAGATAAGCCGGTCAGAAACTCAACTGGGGCACACCAAAACAACTTTACTTGTGATTGTAATGGTGAAGCACGTCCCATTGCCAGCTGCTCAGTGCTGAAGTCCATGCAAGGCAGCACAAGCCTTACTCATGCACACACCCACACACCCACCCTCCAACGTGCCCACGCCTTGGGATCCAGGACCTCTGCAGTGCACTAGCAGTTCTGCTGTTGAAACTGGTTTTTACATCTCAGCACTGACACAAACAGGCAAAATATTCCCAGTTCTCCACCACAGGTGTGCAAAACACAGTATGGCTACACCCCATGAGCTCAAGGTGAAAATGTGCTGCCAAGAACACGTTGCTATCTGCCAAAGATAAACCAGCTGCAATGCAAAAGCAGCCCAGCCAGAGAAGAAACCCACAAACAAAACAGGCTTCCTGTGTTCTCTAAAGACACCAAGGCAGTGTTTAAGGAAGGTGGAACTAATATGTGTGTTCTCAAACAAGGCTCAGGAACAAGGGGAGGACAGCTTTTAAACAAGAGCCTTTGTTTCTAAGGCACAGGGAAGAAATTAGGCTGAGAAAGCTGCCTCCTGACCCAGGGCTGTGCTGCTGATACTTTACTGTGTTACCTTGAGGAATAGTGTCCAAGACTCTGCCTGGCAATTATTTAAACATTTAATAGGCTGAATTCAGCATGCCCTATGCAGCTTTCTAGTTCACAAAAAGCTTTTGGACGTGCCCACTCATTCAGATGATCCAGTTAATTAAAAATTGATGTGTGCTCCTATTTCAGTTTGAAGGAAGCTAGTTCAGGTAGCTAGCTGAGTGCTGCTCCTGACAGGCAGCCGTTTAACCAGAACAGGCCTGATGTGAACTGAGAGGGCTGCTGGCTTTGGGTAGCTGATTAGAAATCTCACCCTGCAGAAGGCTGATGCAACTGTGTGCAGATCAGCCCTAAGAAAACCATCTTCACAGGGTGGAAGATGGATCCTTGTGGCCCCACTGCTCCCCTGCCTGCTCCCACACCCTCATGACACCAACCAGGACCCTACTGACCCTCACTGTCAGCAAAAGGGGACAGGTAGGACAGAAAAAAATGGAAACTACCTCTGCTTCTTTCACTTCTGCATCTGGGGAGTGAGGTTCCCATGGCACCATGAGTATGTACAGGTTAGTACAAGAGCCAGATTGCCAGTGCTGTAATGCACCATAACTCTGCTGAAGGCAAGGAAAGGGGAGGTGGGGCATGGCAGGAGAGCTGGGAAGGACTGCTGACCACCAGGTCAGTAAAACCAGCTCAGGCCCTGCAATGACAGCCACAGAATCACAGAGTATTCTGAGCTGGAAAGGATTCACAAGGATCCTTGAGTCCAACTCCTGGATAGTCCAAGAATTCACACCATGTGCTCTTTATCTAAATGCTTCTTCAGCTTTGTCAGGCTTGGTGCTGTGACCAGTTCCCTGGGGAGCCTGTTCCAGATCCCAGCCACCCACTGGGTGAAGAACCTTTTCCTAACACCCAGGCTAAACTTCCCTTGACACAACTTCAGGCCATTGAAAGCTGATCTTCATAGGTATTTTGTGTTTCACTGCTGCATTGCCTAGTTAGGTAGAATCCCTGTCTCTTGTTGAGTCCCTCTCTCGTCCCCAACCAGGGGAACTTTCCCTCCACAAATACATACCCCATGCTCCATGGCCTTGTGTTGCAGCATTGCATCAGTGAGAGAAGCACGTGAGGAGAGCTCGACCTATTGACACAGATCCGTGCAGACCGGTGGAGCTGATGTGGGAACGTAAGCCAAGGCAAACCTGTTCTCTGGGCTGCCCTCGCTGCCACCTGCACAAACACAGCACAGTCCCAGGGCTGAAAAAGCAGAAAGGGGAGGCTGCTCCACACAGTGCCTGCCAGCCCAGCTGATGTGCCAGGGCAGTGTCCCCCAGGCAAGCCCCACATCAGCCTGGCCCAAAGCAGGCAGCAGCACCCCCAGCTCCCTGCAGGCCCTGGTCCTCCCTCCTGGTCAGCTTCCCACAGAGGGCTCCGTTTTTGGGACAGCCTTGACCTGCACTGCAGGGCAGGCTGGACAGCCCTGCCGTTTTACAGCCTGGCTGTCCAAGTGAGGTCAGTCACAGCCTTGTGTCAAAAGGCCAAGCTGATGTTTTGTTCACCTGTGAAATTTTCCAGACCAGAGTTCCCTTTTCCACCAAGAATATTAAGCATGACAAAACCTGGACTAGAAACCTTGTGTTTGAACACAACAGTTTGGATTTTTTTCTGTGGTATGGATGTATGATTTTATTTGCTTGATTTCTATAATGAGAGATTCACAGCTCCAATTAGATGGTATTACACAAACAAAAGTTTCAATACATCCAGGACAGAAGAACTGAAACCATTTGTGCTTAAAATATATGGCATGTGTGCCTCACCTGCAAAACAGTTACTTAAAAGACACTGATTTAACAAGCTGGAGTCAGAAAACTGACTGCCCATTTCTGCCCATTTCCGCAGCCATTCAGTGGGGCAGACAGGACCTATTTCCTCCCAGAGAGGGGGGTGGGAGGTGTAGCTCAAGCTTTGCTAATGTCCCATGCCATGCCTTGCACATGCACCAGACATTGGTGTCTCAGTTTTCCACCCAGTGCTCTCCACTGAATGAATTCATCAGATCTGGTGGTAAAATCTCCCCTCAGCTCTTGTCCTCTTTGTAGTCTTTAAATATTTAGTACAGGAATGTCTTTAGGTCACCCTGGCTGAGGCTGAGTATTTCCTCCCAGGAGCTCTGGTTGGTGGTGAGCCAGGGAGAAGGCCAGAGTGGGAAAGGTCCTTGTATAGTTGGGGTGGCACTGGGGAGGACACTGCTGAAAAGAAGAAGAATCAGGAAAGGCAGAGGGAGAGCACAAGGGAAACAGAGGAACTGGGTAAATTTAAGTGACTTAGGTTGAGATGACATGGAGAAAGTTCCTGGCTGGGCAATATTTTATGTGAAGCTTCAGAAGGCTGAGAAGACCTTGATGATAGAGACAGCAAAAAGCCAGTGGGAACAGACAGGTTGCCCAGTTCATTTGGAAATAAAAAGGGAAGTAAGGACATATCTAGAGGGACAGGAGTGGGTAATAACAATTAATGATAATTACAGAGTGAACTGCTGAGATGTGCTCACTTCAACTTCAGCACCAGCTGATGGCAATCACTCACAATGTGTACAGTGGGAGCTCCCTGGGTAAGAACCACGAACCACAACTTGTAAAAATTATATTTAACAGCAAACCTTTTGTGCCCCTGCTTCATTCTTACTCCTTAAACTATCTTTTATTAATTTTGATTTTTAATAGATCCCCTGGGAAACTAGAAGCATGTTGTTTCTGGGATGCTTTATAATTCTCTTTATTAAAATCTTTCTTAAGAAACACAAATTAAAACACTTTGCAATCAGTTACACAGATCAGTTATATTGGTGACAGTTCCTACATAATTAAACAAGTACTAACAAATGTCAACTGTTTACAAACCAAAACTTAAATTAACAAGATTATATAAGCTCAATAAATAGTACATCTGGTCCAGTTCAAGTATAATTCAACAAATCACAGCCTTAATCCTTAGAGAGTAGAAAAAAACCCCTGAATATAACCAGCCTAACACTAATTTAGTGTTAAAGCCAATGTGGAACTTTGTCTGATCTAATGGGGCAAATGTTTAATTCTTTCATTTTTTTCTTCAAAGGAAGTAGGTTGCAGATTGACATTAAAGACTATTTGAGATCAATGCAGATTTCACAGAGATTAAAAACATAGTCCCTATTATAAAAGTGCAATCTTTGGTTGAGATGTATTGAAATGGTTTTGATATATTAAGGAAGCTCCTTTTTAAATATCAATATTTGTTTGGCTACACCTGAGCCTGCTTTGTCTTTTCCCTGCTTATATATATAGATATGTATATATAAATAAAGAGTGTGGATTATAGTGATGATGAATTATGCCAACTAAAAAAAGTCAAGAGTTCAATATAATAAACCAAAAGAAACAACACATTTTTACACCAGCTGAGGAAGGTAAGGGGCTGCCTACAGCAGAATTCTTTCTCAGCAGAATAGGTAGTAGAGAGAATTTGAGGAGTGCCTGTCAGCATTGCACGATGGCCTGTTAGAGAGGGAAGGAGATTATCTCTGAGTTCTCAAAGTGCATTGGGCTGAAAACTGATCATGGGCATCATTAGGAGCTAATTGAGACTTGGGATTGCTTTCAAATGTTGAGGTTTTGGGGAGAAAGGACCTTCTCAGAAGGAGAAGTGCCCATTTGGCACAAAATCTCAGGATTTTGCAGATTGCTGTTTTGTCAGACAGAGCCCAAAGGGACGGGGTGTCCAAACCACCTCTACAAATGTCTGGCTCTGCTCAGGTCTGTGGGGCTGGGCTCTGCACCTGCATTGCTCACCTGAGTCACCTCCCTCCAGAAGAGGAAACTGCACAGGGCAGAGATGCCCTCTAGAGCCACCTCCTTCCTCAGTGGCAAGCAAGGGCCTGTAGCTGTGACCCAAACAAGGTGTCTTGGAGCCAGGACATTTCCTGCTGAGCCTTGGTCAAGACTCTACCTCTGGAGACTGAAACTTAAATGGCTGGGGACCAAAGGATACCAAGACCCACTGTATCAAGAAGGGATTTTGTATTCCTAATGCAACTATCTAGGGGAAAAAAGGTTAAATACAAGCAGTGAACAAAGGGAGTGAACTTGGTTCAGAAGCAGAGGAGGGGGAAAGTAGATTGAATCATCTCCCATAAATCCAAAAATAAGCCCCTGGGTAAATACTCATTTTAATTATTCTTCTGCTGCCAGTCAAAATCTCATGGTTACCTGCTGCTTTCCCTGCCTGCCTGTATCCACCTGTTGTCTGTTTTCAGAAAGTGTGATTTAAAGCTCTTTGGCCTGGGAAAGTCTTTGTTGTGGATTTGTGCCTTGCCTATAATAAAGGCAGTGGACCTGTAGCTTCTGCTGCACTACAAATAAAGAATAATAACAGTGATACTTTTCTCATTTGAGGTTACCTGGGGATAAAGCTGCTGGAGGCATATGACTTTGATATACAGTCAGCTATGTCTCACATCCAATTAAGCTTAACCACATGGTCTAACAAGCTCCCATCAGGCTGGTGAGAGCCCCAGTTTGATAGCAGGGTTAGCTTCAAAGATTTGATGCTTGATTTCCTTCCCTTGTGTTCAGTTTGTGCTGAAGGGCATGAAGGGAACTTCATATTCAGATGATACATGACCAGCTAGAGAGCTGCACTCTAGAAGACAATTGCACAATCTTTACTGCCATTTTCATCATCTTACAGCCTGCAATACAAGCTCTTGTCCTAATAGCCCTGCGCTCAAGTTTCACTGCAATGTGAAAAACAAACAGTCAAAGGAAAACCCAACCCTTGAAGGAAAAATACCTGGTTTGCAATATTGGTGGGGTTTTTTCTTTCCATGGGGGGAAAAAACCAAACCCCCTACCAGAAAACAAAAAAACCCAAAAAACAAAGAAACAAACAAACTAAAAAAAAAAAAACCCAAAAAAAAAACCCCACAAAAAACCCCAAAAAAACCCCAAACAAAAACCCCACCAAAAAAACCAAAAAAAGCCCCCACCAAATCAAAAAATCCCCCACCAAAAAAAACAACCCCCCAAGACTAAAACTAAACTAGCTGTTTTAAATGACAGATGGACATAAGTCTTAGCATACTTCAAGCCTGGACAAAGGAGGATTTAGGCTGTAATGTTTTTCATTTCCCCTTGTCATTTGGTAGGCTCTGTCTGAATCTGGGATGCAAAGAATCCCTTAACTTGCAAGAAGCAGGAATTCCAACTATGAAATCTGAACCTACCTCTGGTAAAAATGAATGGAAAGCACAGGCCATGGAATGGAACAGGGCTTCAGGCAACAACACCAGGCACCTCTGAGAGACACTGCCTGGCTACAGGGTACTTCAGAGAACGAGCACAGCTGCTGGCACAAGACATAATGGAACAAATACTTTGGTGGAAGCAGTTTTGGCAATTTAGCCACTTTGCAGTATTGTGCAACATCCCCGTCATTCTTAGGGAAAGCTAGAACCTTCTGGGAAACTGTTTCCTCTGCACAACATCTAAAGAGGACATCCAGTACCAGCAATTTTTACAGAACATACTGTGATGAATATTAGAGTCAGGCAAAGAATGGAAATGCCTGCAAATCCCCATCTACCCAGACTGCACAGGCCATTTTATAAACTCTGGGATCAATCCTGGCAATGCTTTGCATGCGTATTCACTTTAGTACACAAAGCCCTATTGAAATGAACCAGAAACTTGTACAGTGCATTTCAAAGGGACTTTGCAAAATACTAAGCAACAACTGTGCAGAAACAATAGGTCATAATAATGCCAGAGCTGCTGGTGCATCCTGTGTTCTCAGTGCAGTGCTCCGTGAGCCATCAGTTGTTGTATTCACCTTAAAAAATTCAGGGAAATAAAATACAAAAACAATATTAGAAATCTGGCGTCTTTCCATAAAAACCAGGAAAATTCAACGTTGCCAAGCTGAGGAAAAGCAAGCTTTAAAGAAAACAAAAAGACCCCAAAAGCAAGGATCTTGAATAAAATGTCTAAAAGAGACATGGTCCAAACATGTGGCACTTTAAAAAGCCTCTCATGAGAGTTTCAAGTCTGTAAGACTCAAAGTTGGCACCCTTTAGAATTATCAAAAAGAAGAGTTTCAAACACAACGGTCCCTGGAGAACACCCTGACCACACCATGGAAAATGCTGAAACCAGAGCAGGCTGGCTGTCAGCACGTGCATTTGAACTGCTCTTGCTGAGCTGGGTTCAGGCTCTGAGGTCCCTGGGACAGACTGTGGCTCCCCCAGAATTCACACAACACTGGCAGTGTACAGTCAGTTCTTGACAACACAAACATTTGTCATTTCACCAAGCTCTAAGACATGGAGGTGGGTGCTGATGGGGTTTACATTATGCCATCTACTCACTAGTTTTAGCAAAATGGCTTTATACCTATCTCTTTATCCTATGCAAATCCTACTTCTCACTGGGGCAATGAGTGAAATGGCTGAAGGTATTTTAAGCAACATTAAAGCCTATAAATAGTCACATCTCCTTTCCTTCCAGCGTCCACTGGAGGATGCTGAGTGCTTCTAAGTACTCCACCTGACCTGACATGTTACATCAGAACTAAAACTTTAAGAATCCCTGAGAATTCTGATTTAATCTAGGAAACCACTCCCAGCACGCAGAGTGTGAGAAAGAATTGCTCCACTTCTAACAGATATGCCAGCATTGCTTCACCGTGGGAAACAGTTTCAGGCATTTTGGTTTTTAATGGCACTCTGGGCATAGATGCATGGAACATGCTCTTTATTTCCCCTCCTCTGTACAGTGCAAATTGACAGTTATATCATAGAAATTTAAAATAAAAAAAAATAAAGTATCAGCATTCACTCATTACAGCTCTTCCAGTTCATCTGCATCATAGTTTTTTCTTTGCAAAGTGAGGAACGATGCCAGTGTCATCCTGAGGCAGAGGGCTGCCTTCTTCCTTCATTTTCAGGCTCTCTTCTGCAAGCTGGGATAGATACTTCTGCAATCACATAAAAAAACCAAAGCATTGTTACCAAAACTGAAAATATTCAACAGAGGATTCTTTATGCCTCTTCAGAGCTCTAGCTCTTCCAATATATCAAAAGGGAAGAAAGCACACAGAAGCCTCATTTTGGTGAAAACTCAAGCTAGAAAATATGGCTGTGTCAGACAAACTACCTGAATACATGCAGAGCCTCAGAAGTTCAGAGGTTTACTGTGTGCCACAGGGGGGAACTGGTGACAGAACAGGAGGACTCTACTCCCCATCAGTCTGTGCAACCAGACCTCACCTTCTCTCTTCTCCCCTGTGCTACAGGGCAGGAACTAACTCCACTCAGTCAACTGAATTCTGCCAGGAAAGCACTGGTGTGTCAGAACATAAATGTGATTTCAGAGTCTTGATTTAAAGTTTATATATTATATTTTCAGCATGTCCAGTTCAGAGATACACCTTTTGTAGGAGAACATTTTGTTTGAAGGGAATAATCACACTCAGTAATAATTAACACAAGTTAGCAGTTTGGCTAGAGTATTTACCTTTATTGTATTTCTCTAAGATAAAGCCTTTCACTGCTTTGGGTACTCACTGAGATTCAAAAGAGCAGACATGGCCAGTTATGCTTTCAGCCTTTTGGCAGTGCTCTTGGCTGGCAGAGCTGCACACAAAATGGATGATGAATGGGTATGGGTCTCAAAATAGTGCTCAAACTATTTATTCAAGGTCAGCAGACATAGAAATGGATGGAAAGAAGCTTTTTCAGCAGCAGCTAGTGCAGAGACACCTGGGAAATTCCAACATAATAATGCAGAGGTATTCTTCTTAATGATTTACACACATCACATATGTCACACTCAAGAATAATTGATCAACACATTATTAGGGTCATAGAACTTGTTTTCTAGCTATTTACTCATTCTGATTTATTTTGAAAAGACCCTTTCACATCACTGCAAAATTTTCTTTACTCGCAGGATTTCCCCAGAGTAGAGTTTACTCTTTGGCATCCATGAGGAAGAGATTAAATGAGAAATGGCTGTAAAAATCCTAAGGGCTGTGTTAGAATTGCCACATTCTCTCAGATAAATACAAGTTTTGAACATAAGAGGTTCATCTGGAAGTTACTCAGCAATGGTAATGAATGGGCATACCCATGGACTGCACCCTTATTACTCTGACTAGAGACTGGGCTGTGGAAATTACACAACTCTCAGTCCTGATCTCTGGGTGCAAAACTCCACGTGGCAAAAAGCCAGAGTAAATGTTACAGTAGGATACAGAGATATAGGGACCATAAAGGCTGGGAGACATGTTCTGTACAGCGTGAACTGTAATAAATCACTAACACTTGTGCCTGGATCATATAACCCAAGCTTTTGGGGCTTTTCATGAGCACCGACCAAAACAAGACTGAGTTTCATCCACTACCTTTAGCTGATGTTGCCAGCTATCATGAGTACCACAAATACCAGATCTGAAATTTGCAGATTCAGATTGATATACAGAAAAATGGCAGTCAAGCAAAAAATGTATTTTTTTTTCATTTAAATATAAGTTTTGACAAATACTGCATAAAGCCAGTGGAAAACAGGATGAAATACTGTACTGAGTTGCCCAGGTAGCTTCCACCAGACGAATGGTGACAGCTTTCTGTAGCTGGAGGAAGTGGAGGAAGGGATGGCAAAAATATGGATTTTTTTTGGATGTGGGAATTGCAGTGTTTCTGTAAATACAAATACCATCTGGGAAAATAATTTATTACAATGAAGAAAATTTAAAATTACAAAATGTCTGCAAGGCTGACAAAGAAACAGCTGATTTTTTAAATCAGGGACTGATGTTATTTGAGGGGCATGATAGTTAGATAAAGTTGACTAAACTTACTTCAAGACAAAACTATCATGATATAAACAAGGCTTTTGGAAGAAAATTGGCAAACAAGCTGTTCAGTGTCACATTCAGATCCAAACACTGAACATATATTTTGGATGTGGCTCAAGGAGATCACATGAGAGACAACAAGTAGCAAATCAACTATAAAAGACTCAAATTCGTGACACAACCTGGGACACTGTTGTTGTCACTGGATGATGGCATTTGGCATTCAGGAAGGAGAACAGGAACACTGCAGCAGCACTCCCAGAGCTCCACTACAGAGTCCCTAGTATCCCTCGTGGATACTCTTGTTAACTTGCATCATCACAGGAGAAGACTCATATTCCTTGCAGAATGCATAAACTATCACTATAGCAACAAAAAGGGTTCTAGCAACACAGAACAATGATTTGAAATTTGCTAAGTTTCCACTTGAGGAGGCAAAAGTTGGACGAGACATTTACTTCCTGTATGTAGTAAGATAAGAAGTATGGCTTGACAGAACAGCCTGTTTTTATTACTGCATTTGGCAGATTTAATTTTAACAGCTTTTATAGTCTTTGTTCTTTTATCTCAAGTCAGTGTTAGATATCTACCACAGTACTCATGGGAAATGTCTTAATAGGGAGAAAAACAGGTTATTTGCAGACTAAGTCAGTTTTAGTTGGGCCTGTTTCTTATAACTTTAACAAAATAAGTTAGAAAATTAAAAAATAAAAATCCCTCTTCTTCACATGGAACCAGTTTCCAGAGGCATGGGCAGGAGTTGCAATCTTTCTTTAGTAGGAGTTTCTTAGGGACAGACTTGCATGGGATACACAACCTGCACTGAGTGGTGCCACCTCTGGTGAATCCCTCTGGGTTTTTTTGTATGAAGCAAAGAAAGGAATGCAAACTGGGCACCTGTTTTTCAAGCCTGCACTTGGAGGGTCCATTATGAACAAGCATCAGAGCTCTGTAGGAAGCCTTTGGAAGCCAGAGGCCTTTGTATAATTACAGCTATGGAACTTCAGGAAAGCCAAGAATAAAATTCTCCCAGAGAAATTACTTGTCAATACCTACTAGCCAGCTAAGGAAAGAGAGCTATTACTTGAACAAGAGCAGAGGTACCACATTTACTGTGGGCAGAGGGAAGGAACAGAGACAGGAGAAGCAGCTCTGCTTTGCTCTGCCGTGACTTTTGCTAGGAGTATGAGAATGCCAGCACAAGTGTGTGTGTAATGTACACACCTTGCTCACAGGTAGGGAGCCAAGGCCAGCTCCTCTGAGGAGCCCTGAGCACGGCACAGGCTGTTGTGACTGATTCTATTGATGGTGTGTCTCAAAAGTGACAAAGGCAGGTCTTTGAACTGCAGGCACACATGGTCTCCCTGTGCTGTTATCAACTGCTGACATGTTTGTGTTACATTCTTATGGAGCAACAAGCACTGACATGCTCCTGCATATCCTGATGGAAATTACTCAGCAGTGGTGCTCTGCACACAGGGAGGGGATTTCAGTGGGTCACAGGAAATGCCTCGCAGAGCCCACATGTCACAGGGAGCTGTGAACTGAAACACGTAGAGAAACCCACACCAACACAGAAAGGGGTCTGGCTACATCAGACAAATGCCATGTTTAATGCTCCTGGAACTAAGATGTACTGAACACTGCTACTGCTGGGGTCACTCCCAGGGACAGAAACATCTGGGACCCTCTGAAACAGGGAATTAATGATCTGAGTTGCATGCTGTGCTAGTGACAAGGACCAAATGTAGATGAGAAGATGAAATCATCACCTGGCCTCATTTTACCTGCAGCCCAGAAGTTGATTTCAAGGACCTGAGAGTGAGAAATTAGCATGCTAATGATTCGAACCACTGAAAAGTTCGTTTACCTGAATTTCACTTCATCTGAATTCTGTCCACAGACTAAAAGCTAATTTTTTATCGCATCATCTACCTTACACACAAACCACTCCATAAGCTTGTTGTTCGGTAGCTTCAGGTGTGTTTTTACCTGGAGATTTTTGTAGTGAACAGTACTCCTGCAGTGACTTGTCTTTGCTGTCTCTTCATTTGTGTAGAAGAGTCCACAGAGCTTGCAGTAAAACCCAGTTCTAGGCACCACAAATTCCACACCTATTGAGAAATTCTGAATTACATTAAAGTGTCAGTTTAAATCCTATCCCTCCCATAACAAACTTGTTTTCAAAGAAAAAATATGCTATTTAGTTAAATATTAGGAATAGGAAACTGAATCCTGGATTCACTTCTCTATTTCCCTAATTTAGCAATATTGATCTGCAGTTTAAATCTTGTACATTGAAAACACACCTTTTCTCTTTTCTCTTAGATATACAGGCTTTAAAATCTATCTTGTCATAATACTGACTAGAAACTTCACTCTGTAACATCAAGGGCTAGAAAAGCAATAATACTTTTTAGCAGTAAATGAATGTTTAAGTTACACAGATTGCCTTTGAGGATGTACTTCTTCCAGGTGTTTTGCTCATAATCAGTATTTACACAGTAAAGCCAATACTTTTGCTTACACTATATGCCAAAGACTTTTAAATTACTATTTTTTTCATCTGTATTTCATATATAGTCCAAGGGAACTTATTTCATCTCATCAGCTGCCTTTTGCCATTCATTTGGAATGAATTAGCAATGATCGAGAATCAAAAGGCTGTTTCTTTCAACAGCTACCCGTCTGTCAGATACTCTGTTCCTTCTCTCCCCACATCTGCTCTGAAAAACAAATATAGCAAGTAGCCTTAAAGTGACATCTTGTTGTAAGCCCTGGGTATTGCAGTGGGCGGCCCAACGTACCCAGGGGAATGCTGAGCTCGGTGAAGACGTCCTCTTGTTCCCAGCCTGCTGCAGAGGGCCTTTGTTTAGACTCTACCTCCGGGTATTCCAGAGATCTCATTTCCAAGTACCTAGAATTTGCTTAACAAATGAATAAATGTATTGAATGAAAACAGTTTATTAAAGAGACGTTTGTGAGCTTCTTGGGAACACTTTCTGGGTGGATCTATAAATGAAGTAAAATCAGGAAAAAAATGATTTTCCATTCTAATCAGAGGCCTATTTAGTGCAACTCCAGCAGCTGTACAATGGCATGCAGTCACTCTGATTTCTCCCAGTAGACCATTTTTCTATTTCTAATTTAATGCTATATTTGGAGGGGCTTTTGTGTTTTAATCTCTATATAGAGCTATAATATCACACACCTCTGGCAGAAGCAGGGCCTGACTGCAGCTTTGTAGCCACATGTATTACTGCATGATCAGAGGTGCAGCTGGGCTGACACAGGGGCTGCTGAGATGGTCCTGGGGCAGCAGGACCTGATGAATGCAATTCTCCAAACCTGCCTTTTGTAGGATCCCTGTAACATCACTGGAATCTTCTCCCTGGAGCCACTCTTCTCCCATCCTCATCTCTCCAAGGGATAGTTCCTGCTTTATGGCTCCCAGCCACTAAAAGATTTTAGTTTCTGAATAGTAGGGATGGGATGGTTGGTCCCTGCTGGCTGACATTAATTGACACAGCAGGAGATTCAAGATGTGGAAACACTGGATTGATTTGCTGAGGTAGATCTAGCCAGTCAAAAGAACAGATGATGTCCCTTTCCATGATTTCTACCACATGAATTAATTTTATTTAAAAAGAAGAGGAATTTACTATCACAGAGCTACAGAATTACAGATAAACTGGTCTGATTCCTCTTTTTCAGCCCTTACATCAAAGTACTACCTCACCTGCCCTGACAAAATTTCTATTGCATTGCAAATTTCACCTAAATAAGGGATATATTTTCTTATAAAACAAACATATTTTGCCCAAATCAAACCCTTCCTGTCTTTCAAGACTGTAGTTCAAAGATCTGCAGTTTCTGGCTATGAGAATGAATTTTTCTTCACTTTTAAATATGTCTATTTCATGTTTTAAAAGAAAATAATATAAAATCCTAACTGGTTGGCTTTCAATTTAACTTTAAACCTACCCCAGGATTCCAATACTGCAGCACAGAACCTGGAAAACCCCCAGTAAGCTGGTAAGCTTTTCTTAAGACACCCAGGGCCTTTGCAGCAACTAAAGTCCCACTTGAGTTGATCTCTGTGCTTCTGAGCTGGCAGCTGCATTTGTAGAGGGCCTAGAGCCTTGGACTGCAGATCCCAGATAACGAGTCCATGTCAGAAACCCAGGAAGCATGAGAGGCCCTAGAGCTTCCAGGCTCCCTGCTGACAAGCTGGAAGCTGAGATGCTGGAAACACTAGTAAATATGCTCTTGAGACACCCAACTCTTTCATCAGCTGGCTGCCCAGGAAGCCCAGGAGAGCCAACTTTGCCCTGCCCAGTCCCATGGCAATATTATCTCCAGACATGCAAAGCCTGGCAAGGTGTCTTCAGGCCAATCAGGTAAGTATTAAAAACCAATGAGTTTCAAATCTGTCCTGCAGGAAGAAGTTAGCTCAAAATCAGATGTTCACATTAAATGTTTCCAGCATTGCACTCTCAAAAATCTTCCATGAGCTTCTTTTCAAAAGCCCTTGTCCATCACATGGGCTCTGGCAGCAATTAAAGAAGAGCATTTCTGACCAATATACTCAATGTAGTTTTTCACTTCATCTCACTATGCACAGCCCATTTGCTCAAGCATCATGACAAGGAACTGAACTGACTTTCAGACCTCAAGATCCCTTTTTTTCTGATGGTGAAAATATAAATAGGTAGCTATGATTACATTTATTGACATTATCTCACAGCACATCCTATCACTTATATTAAAGGCAGCATGCAGTAGATAACAGGACATGATAAGGCAAGTCCTTGCAAAAGGCATATATTTGCATGAACAGGGACTGAGAAGCAACAATCTATGCATGATATCCATGTTAATAATGCTTCAGTACAGTGTGTAAGAATATCCACCTTGTCCAGGAGCCAGCCAGACATTACAGATATTTTTCTGTTGACCTTCAGAGACTGTCACTCATTTCATTGACAATTCAAAATAAATTTAGCAAGGCACTGAAAGACTTCAGCTAAACTCATGTGAACCTTGACATGACAATTATAGCAGCTTATGCCTTTCAGAAAGCTTGCAAGCTGCTTATCATATTTCCTTTACACTATTCATCTAAGAGGCTCTAATGATTTAGCTTGGCCAAAAGCACTGGGGTTCTTTTACTAAGCTGCTCCAAGGACAAGCCTTGATACTATTAACGACACTTATTCTCGTTAGCAATAAATTTCAGTCTACCCTCAGAGAAAACATGCAAGGCTCTCTGCAGGCTGAAGGGAAAAAAGCAGTAGTTACCCTTGGCCTCTGGACACTCTTGGCTTCCATGTCTTGTTTCTTCGCTAGCGTTTTTAATGAGCGTTTCCGTAACTTCTCTGCTCTCAGCTCCTTGTGATCCCATCTGTTTGTAATCATCTATAAACGTATCAGGGAGCTGGAGAGTCTCTTCTTTCAGATGAACAGAAGGTATATGGTGATCTTCAGGCTCCAAATGAGTGTCAGAGCTCTTATCAATTTTTCCTTCCTTCTGCTGGCAATCAGACTCCTTAGCAGATTGGTCTTTCAATTCCTCTGGCTTCTGTTCAGGGTCCAGATTTAGGCTTGATGCTTCAGTTGCAGCATCATCATTATCATCATCCTCATCATCTTCCTGACAGCCACTAGAAGCTGCACTGCCCTTTGCTGCTCTGAAGTTTGTTTCTAAAGCTTTATGGGCAAATTTGTCTTCACTTCTTGTTAAGTGGCTGTGATCATTTTTCAGTTCTAACATGGTTGACACACAGGGACATATTTCTGAAGAAGCTTTATTTTTTTGATCAACTGGGACTATTTCTTCAAGCTCAGTTATATCAGGCTCCATAATTAAATCATCTTCTCCCACTTCATCCACTGTCACTAATTCCTCCATGTTAGCAGGATACCAGGTCTCACCTTCTATTTCACTTCCACTCTCCCAGTCTCGGTCCTGTCACAGATGTAAAACATTTGAGAGATTGGTGATTACAGATAATCATTGTTAAAAACTGGTCCTTGAAACCAGGAAGAACCTTGATATGGCCATGTCTAACTCTTCTTGTGTTTTAGTTTCAAAGAGTGATATGCCTTGGTGCTGTGATTTTATACCTTATGCACAAGGACAAAAACCCTCTATTGAATTATCACATAAACTTGTCTTTGTGAAGATTCTGTAACTGCTTTGGGGATTGCAGTATCTCCAGTCCCCCGCTTCTTGCTTTTCTGTAAGCAGTAGAGCAAGGCACAATGTGTCACACTTTATTATGCAACTGATGCTACGATGTGATCCCCTTCCTCTGCCTCCTTCTCAGTGCAATGAAAGTATATTGAACCCCATTTGAGCCACTGTGGCTTTCACTTTCCTGGACCAGGTCCTTTAAATTCACAGGATGACTGAGAAAACATGGCTTTCTTCTGCAGTCATTTCCTTCCACCAGCAAGATCCCTCTGCCAGGGACTGTGCTGGGAGCCACTGGCCTAAACCTTAGGAAAAAGCAGGCTTACAACTGTAAGCCAAAGCACATATTCTGAAATACATCATACATGCAGTTTCAGACTTACAGGACTTGGGCACTAATACTGGACTTGAGAACTATTAGAATTAAAAGGTATATCTTACTTTTAAGACACACTTGCATCTTAGATTTCAACTCCCAGACTCCTTGTGTACACATAATCTATTAATAATCTGTATTCTCCTCCTCTTTGGCCATTCCCACACTTCCCCTCCTAGAATCCTAAAACAGCATGAAAACTCTGTGAGCTGGCACTGGTCTTGCCAGGAGATCAGTTTTCTGCAGCAACAGATATCAATATCTTCCATATTTGACCATCAACCCATGACCCTACAGAAATGAAGCTGGAGGAATTCCAGGGACATTGCTGTCCCCAATTGCAATGCAGCAGCAGGGGCTCTGTAAAGGCATTATTTAATTAAAACCAGAAACAATCAGGAGACTGCCATCTATAGTTCATAAGGCCAACGTTCTAAAAAGTATTCATGATAGTCCCCTCTTTCCCCACTAACTGACCACATCTCCTATTTTTGGGCACGGTTTGCAAAGTTACCCAGTTCACTTGGGCATACATTCCTCACAGCTGCCACTGCCAAGCACTACGTATGTGAAGCAACGTACATGAGCAAAGAGTAACTAAAAAAAGAGTTCTGGAGACTTCAGGAAAAGCTGTCCCTTAAAGCAGAGGTCAAGATAGGGCAAGCTAATTTAGACAACCTCCTTCTCCAACCCCTTTATGTGGTTTTTCATGAGGAGTTAGTATTTCATTTGAGAGAAAGTTCTACCAAACCTGAGGTTTCAATCATTTTCTCAAAAAAACTACACCAACAACGTGTCACCAACCTTTTCTTTCCTTGTGTTTTCCAGAATATCTCCAGATTCTTTTCCTTGTTTATTATCTGAAGGTGAGCTCTTCACTGGAACTTGCTCCTCTTTTTCAAGCTAAAATAAATACATATACACGTATAGCAACACACAGTGGTGCTCTAGTATGTTTCTATTCTGGGTTTAGAGAAGCAAAGTCACTCACAAGGTCACATTCTTTATTTCTAAAGTTTATGCAAGTCAACTAGGCTGTGGGAAAAGACCCAACAATAAATTCCATTAGCAGAGCTGTACAAATAAGAATTAAGAAAAAGAATTTTAAACAAAATTAGAGGTGTAATTTATATCACCGAATTGGCTGACAGACAGGTGGGGGAGAATGTCAATTCATTAAAATTTCCAGCCTCCACTCTTCTGTTCTCTACCCACATTTGTTATGTTGGCTCAGATGTGGTAAGAAGAGCAGCAGTGTTAAACTGTGCAGAAGACCTCGACTGTTTTGTTTATTGACACAGGATCAGTTGAAAATGGAATTGGTTGTACAGTTCATACTTGGGAAGAACAAAACCACAGTACTACCTCATATTTAGTAAAAGAAGGACAAAGCAAAAGTGAGTCCAAGACATACAAAACTATTTCTTCCTTTTAAAATAAATTACTAGCAATAGTCCCCAGAGAGGTATGTCTTTAGCAAAGCCACTGTAAAACAACTTGGAAAACATGCAGAGGAGTGTGATTTAGGATGCTATCTTGACATTTCTCTCTGACGTCTCCTCCCAAGGAACCACACATCATAGTAAAATACCAGCCAAAGGAAAAAGATGATAAAATGTGGTACAAACATGCTTATCTATGGTATGAGGCAGTGCTGCTAGTGGTTACAGACTAGTGAGTTACAAATCTAGGAAATTCCACCAACTTAGCCCCACAGGAGAAGAAGGTCAACTGGAAACAACCAACAATGGCCCTGGCAGCACAAAGGCACAAGCAAGAGATGGAGCCCTGGTCAGCCAAGCACCTTTGCAGCCTCCTGTGCCAAGAGACCTGGGGGTGGATGGCAGCAGCTATCCCTGGGGGACTCCGGGGGCAGCAAGGTGGCCAAGAGCCAGTAACCAGATCCCCAAGGGGTGGGGATGTGAGTATGGGCTGTAGTGAGACTGAGCAAATGAGGCATCTGGATGGGTTCCCCCCCTACTTCTTCCCAGAAATCCACAAACATTGCCACTTTACCACTGGAAGTATTTCTCCAGAGATTGCATAATTTTATAGGTGAGCTGATTCAGTGGTTTCTGTCATGGGAAGAGATTTCTGCCAGAACACTGAAGGGAGTGGTGTGAATTATCCCTGCCACAGCTGAGGGTAGGGATATATGATTAATAGAAACAATTGCTGTCTTGAGTTATCCAGAAAGAAATGTTTCTCATTAAAAGTCCATTCCCCATTGTAAAAGCATAGCAACCACTTCCCTGTATAGACACTGTGCACCTCTGTAAAGTATCACTTAATTTCCAGATAACTCAATCCTCCACACTGGCAGCGGAAGCAGGTGATGGATGCAGAAAGAGCAGCTATGGGGCATTCTGCACAGAGTTAGCAGGAGGACAATTGCCTCTTCATACACAACTTGCATGCAAATAGCAGACTGTCACTTGGTTTCATTTCCAGCTGTCTGACCCCATCCCCTCATTTGCTACCCAAAGGTTCTATAGACACAAAATTATAATGTCCATATACCCAACACCACAAGAGTGTAATAGGTCTGCATGGTCTGGGCAAAAACACAGACAAGATGGCTTCCCAAGACTTCTTCTATTACTACATTCCCTAATTTTATAATGGAAAAACATTTCATACTGCTGGCATCACACCTACAACAAATTCTCTAAGATATTTCAGAAAATGTATTACTTCACCACTTACACTTCTTCTTACATATACTTTTAGATCTCTATTTACCTCATTCTCAGGAGGTTTGGTTTCCTTTACATCACTGCCTTCAGCAGTAGCATCTTCTTGGTCTTTTTCAGTTTTCTTCACTTTATTCTTATCACTTTGTTTTTGCCTGGAGCCCTCAGATGCTTTGCTGTGCTTCTGTTCAGCTGCCTCCTCCCTGGCAGTGTCCTCGTTGTAAGAATGCCTGTGTTCCCTTAACTTTGCCTCTTCCTTTCTCTTAGATCTCCCAGGTAAATCCTGCAGCTGCCTCTGAAACTTGTCAGATTTTGACTTAGAGGATTTTCGGTAATAGTCATCTTCCCTGTTCTTGTAGCCAGATGAAGGGTGAAGTGATCCAGGGGAACCAGTCTTTAAGTATTTTTCTCGGTGTCCTCTGCCTCCTTCAAGCCGTTCATCCAAATCAAACTTGTCCAGTTGTCGGGAATAATGTTTCCTCTCGTGTACCCACGTGTCAGTCCTGTCCCTCTTCTCGTCCCCATTCTCTCGCCATTCCCTGCTATCTCTTTCCTCTTCCCGTCGAGAATAGGGGGACTGATCCCATGCCTCTCTCCCATTTCCCCAGTCGGTCCTGCTGGTCCCCAGCGGGCTGTGTGGTGAGCTGCAGGAAGTGAAGCTGGGCGTGTGGGACCGAGGTGACAGCGAGCGGCTTATGGGGCTGCGGGAGCGGGGCCTCTCAGGGCCATACCTGCTGTAGGGGGAAAAGGCAGCTGTAACTGGCTGACCCACTGCTGTCTACCAATTCTTGTACACTGGAAGCTCATGGGGACTGCCCTGGGGACTGCGAACCTGAGACCCCAGGCCTTTCACAGACATGCACTGCACAGCTGCAAACAGTGAACAGGAGAAAAGGCAGTGTCATAGCCACAGAGCTTAACTAAATCCCTACAGAACTGTCAAGAATATATTCATTCATTCTTAAAAGCATCTCATAGGGGTTTAGCATTAAAAGCTCATAATATTTTAATACCTTTACAATGACCCTAATGTGTATACCCTTAATACTCACTCAGCTAGGGCATCACTGACACAAAAGTGACAAAGGCCACCTGTTTAAAAGAGATGTTTTAGGGCTGTGATTCCTCTCCAATTTTGCTGAAAGTTCCAGAAGTCAGAGAGAACAGAAACGTACCCAAATACATTTTAATCTGAACTGCCTCCTTCCCATTAGGTCTCAAAGCACCCTCAGCATTTATGCTTTTCAGTCAACAGGGAGGAGAGTGGAACAGTTTCATTTTTATGCTCTTCACATGCCAGACATACTTTCTAAGACATAATCAGTAGGAAAGAATTATTTTCATAAGATGCACAGTTTCAATTGGATCTCATTATACAGGCCCTGTACCAACTATTGAACAATATGAAAATATATACTATTTTATAAGTGAAATCCAAATCAGGAAAACAAATTAAATACAAGAGGGAAGCACACAGATAACGCTCCTTCTACCTGTAAGTTTACAGACTTCCAGTTCCAAACTTTGGAGACACTTTACCTGTCCACTTCACGCAGCAGGTCCCTCTCCCTCTGTGAGTGGATGTCCTGGATTATAGCAGCCACATTCTTACCTGGTTTCTAATAAAAACAAAGACACTGTTTAGCATGCCACGCTATTCTTCAAACTGATACAGGTGATTTGCCCTTCAAGAAACAGTATCCATGCTTCCTTCAATTATACTCTAACTAGAAATACTTCGTTTCAGTGTTGTGGTTACACTTGCTTTTGTAGCTGTCTTCGCAACAGCACGATCAAAGCAGTAAAATGATACAAATGGAAAATGTGCTCCATTACGTTGTAGCACTCTCATCTCATATTTGGCTGCTCTAACAGGCTTTGAAAACTAGCTTGTTTTCAAACCTTGTTACACAATCACTACAGAGCATCTTCTAGCAACTGGATCTAAGAGGAAACAAACCAGACAACTTTTTTGATACAGAATCAAATATGTATAGCAGCCTATCTCTGATCCTCTAGGTATGAACTGCGTTCTCTTGATCTCAGAGTTATTCATTCTGGAGTGTAGCTCTAAAGGACTATGTTTAGGAGAGCTATGTAAAGGAGAGCTTCAGACAAGCTAAGTGCAAGATGTATACTGGGGTGTTGATTACTCCTAGGTAGGATGCCCTACACAGGCTGCAGTGCTCACAGTTCCTCAAACACTTGGAGCACACACAGATGAGCAACATAATTGTGCAGGAACTCAGCAGTTTGTAGCAGTATATGTTAGCTCATGCATATTTCCCTCTTTTTATTTTTCTTTTCTTGCTTTCTTTTGTAAGCAAAATAATTCCATGACCTGACAAACTGCCATTGGAAAAGCAGAAAAATCTTCCTGGAATCTAGGCACACTACCAAATTCTCCTGGGTAACGCCTGCCTCTCTGTCAAGATACACAATCTCCACCACCTAACATCTGAACCCCGCCCTGTACCACATTAGGAAAGTCTGCCCTGATTTATGAACTTTTGGCAGCTCATTTTAAGTCTCCTTAAGCTAGTATACACATACAGGAGAGAAAGAGGCTTTTCCAAAGGTCAAGCCAAACCATCCGAGTTCCTTTACTTTTTTTTTCCCCAAGGCTCATAAAGGGACTCTTAACATTAAATGGGAACATTACAGAGCTGTTCTACAAAATAACTTTGTGCTGTGTTAGGTAATACAATATGGAGCTCTTAAGCTCTGCATTGTCAGTTCTGGTCCAAGTCACCATGAAATAAAATTACTCTCTTAGCATTACATGGCAGTATATAAGCCTCTATAAATACTTTCACAAGAGCAGTGATCTCTGGACATCACTCAAGTGTCCAGAACAGAAGTGTCACACACTCTACAGAAAGTCTAAAGAATATTGCTCTGTTTTGACTCTGTGTTAAAAGAAAAAAATGAAATAAAAACCCACAAACTTGCTTTATAACTTAGATAATGCACAAGAAATAAAAAGAAATCAGTATGCTGCTTAGTCCTGTTACCACTACTTGGTGTCAAGACCGTACTATGTCTCAAGCATGGAAGCAGTGAAAAAAGCATTGTTCTGGGCTTAATGCCTGACTAAAAGTATAGACCCATCTTATTTTTGCTGACATGTTGTATCTTACACATGGCTGTGTTTTAGACCTTTGTTAGACCAAGCGATGTAGGGAGCCTGCTCACAAGGAAACTCAGAAGGGATTTTTTGAAATAATGGATTGAAAGGATCAGAGAAAATGAAGTCTCTTCCAAGAGTTACAATTTAGAATAAGAGCAAGTGTAAAATATTGATAATACACAGTCCTTAGTTTATCTTTATTTCTTTTTCCATCATATTAAAGCATTAATTAGAAATCAGTAACTAGCAAGAATCTTTTAAAATGCATTCTCCAGATGTGTCATGGAAACTCATATGAATTGATCAAGAATGACCATCTTACCTTCAGCTGCAATTCCTTGTATCTTTTAGACATCCTAATAAGTAACTTGTCATCATTTATCATAGCAGGTTTTTCTTTGTAGTACTGTACCATGGCTTGAGCTGCTTCACTGTAAGCCATTTCCAGAAAGGCCTAGCACAAATTGAGAGAACTTTACAATCTATGACATAATTAAGAATACGAAGTACAAGAGAGAAAAGGTAGCACAATACATTTTCTCTGGATGCTTCTCATGCAAAATGTCTTGATAGTACAAAACTGGGTAGCTTTCCAGGCCTGAAGTTGAAATTATAATACTCAGTCCATTTCTCATTCTTTCTTTAACTACAATAATGGTTTCAAACCAGCTATTAAAGCCAATATGTCACCTTAGAAGATGGTTCAGTTAAAAACTAAATGACTGGTATCTAATCTTCCTTTAAACAAGAACTTGTTTAGATGTGGTCATGTTTACATCCTCGCCTAATTCAGTGACCACCAACTTTTTTTTTCACTTCAAGAGCAGGCTTCATAATGTTAAAGTTTCTATTGCTAAATAAGAGGTTTTCCCCCAAAGACTCTGCCTTTATGTTTATGTCTTCATATCTTTATGTCTTTATGCCAACAGATGTCAACACTGGTAACCCCACATGTACAGTACCTGATTAGTAGATTTCATGAGGATATAGTTGGTGACCTTTCCAAATGGGAGGCCCAGGTTAATGACATCATTCTCTGTGCAGCTTCCCTCGGGGAGGTTGCAAATGTGAACAACTCGACCCAGTGTAGATTTCCTCTGAGGAAACTGGGGGGAAAAAGCCCAACTCAAACCATGTTTTTATGTTAGATATTCTCTTCACTAGATAACATCTTACATTTCTGAAAAAAAAAATTAAATGCTCTTCTCACCTGCTATTAAGAAAAAAATATTCTTTAAAACTTGCATTTTACAATTTAGAGGTTTAGAAGTAAAAATGGAAATGGAAATGCTTAGTTGCAGTACAGGTTGCAATGCCGTCTCCATCCCTGGACTTTGCAAAGTCCAGAGAGGATTTCTAGAAGGGAGACTGTCCTGCAAACAGGATCAATTCTCCTGCAAAAACTAACTGCTCACTGCAGTCCTTGCTGAATTTATGGATATAGGAGATCAGTTTATGTGACTACATGGATGTTCAGGATAGTAGGGACTAAATTTAAATCCTTCTTCATGGAACGGACTGGGCCTGGGGTAAAAGCGATCCCACTTGACTTGTGAGAGAACACACAGCTGTACCTGGGGTTAGAAAACCTGCTACTTTTCCCTCTCACTGCACCAACACACAGGAGGAAGGACTTCCCTCTGGGGGCACAGTGAGCACTGGACATGCAGAGAGGCAGAGCTCCCAAACTGGGCTGGCACAGACACAGGGCATTGGAGTGGTGATCACTTCCCAAGGGTGGAAGTCTATTTTGGAGTGCTGGGGCAGTTCTGAAAGAGGTGCCCATCTCCCTGGCATGGGAAGCAGCCTCTACACTCCCTGTGCAAAGGCATCAGGGTACAGCCAGAGAGAATGTTAATTTACCATAGCTAATGACAAGAAAAACGTCACTCACACAGGATTAAATCTTTCCAGACTACCTCCATGTTTGTGACCTCTGCATTAGGATTTTACTGAAGAAGTAACTCTACCTTCGGTTAAAATTGTGCCATTCAAGGGAAGATGCAAATCATGTAATCTTGTGGGATCAAGTTCACCAGAGCCATCACAAATGTTTGGCTTGTCAGCAAGTTCACAAGTTACAGAGCTAATGTTATCTTATTTACACCTCCATCCTGTTGCCTTCCCTCCAGACTTCACCACTTAACCATTTGTGTATTTCTGCTGCATTAGAACCCTACATTACACAGTGATCAGCTACTGAGCTTGCATCTCACACAGCGCACTCAGGTGCATAAGGTAAGTCAATGAAGTGCAAAAGTCCAAAAGTAAGGTTTTTATTCTGGCAGAAAAATAAAAAACACCTGATCCTGGAAAAAAGATGAAGCAATTCAACACCAGTTGAACAGAAAAGGTAGTGATGTCTGCACACATCTGGCAAGGCAGCATGTAGCACAGAACAGAAGAACACTACTACAGCTAGAGGAAAAGGAAAAGGAAACATCAAATACAGTCCCAGTGTAAGAACACCTCAGGTCACCAGTCACCTTCTGTTTGTTTTGTTAGATCTGTTAAAAGATGGTATGTAAGAGTCTATTGGACTAGAAAGGCTCAGCTCTTCACTGCCTTGGCTGCAGAGCCCATGTTCCCACACACAGCCCTCAGCACATTAAATCAAACAAATGTAAGACATTGCCACTTCCCCACAATTGGCAATGGCTTGAATTAAAATGTTATGCCATAAACCTGCTGTAGCTCTTGATTAAGAAGTGGTCACATACTCATGCCAGAAGTCAACAGGCTGTACCAAGCAATAATCTTGTCAGCTGATTGCAGTTAAACTGGATCCATTCATTAAACAGAGCTGTAAATCATGGCCAGAAAAGGAATATACACCTTCCATATCTACAATCAGGAAGTTAGAGGAGCTGTTGTATGACAGGTGTTGAATATAATTTCCAGTAAGACTCAAAGTTAACTTTCTTGGCAACCAATGTCTACTACAAGTTATCAATGTAGCTGCATGGCTATTAAAAAAAAACAAGTCTAAAAAAAATTATGTACAACAGCAAAATGCACCTCATATTGTTTACAATATTATTTCACCCATCCAATTTGGTGATTTTTTATTACAGCTGCTTTCTTACATTTGTTGTTGCTTCTTGCTTTTCAAATTCTTTATCCCTTTCTTGAGCTTAACATGAAATTTTTCTAAAGATAGTAAAAAACTGCCAATCTCATCCCTCCTGTGCTAATGGCTCACCATGCCCAAGTGAAGACTGGTAGCACTTGCCTTTTACAGAGGGATAGAGTTATTTGCAGATGGACAGCACAGAGCAAGCTCTTCCAGAAATCTGAACACTTTGTTTATGATTACACGCAGGGTCAAGTGTAATCTCCTACTGCTCAGTTAAATGGCAGCAGCTTAGCTGAAAGTGAATACTACCATGCAAAGGTGTAATAAATTATAAGCCACCTGGGTTGCAGAGTGAATGACAGCTGGCAAACTCAGTCTTAACACCTCTAATATAGCTCCCTGTTCATCCAATAGGCTTCTGAAGAAAAAAGGGATTTACAGCATCCAGGAAAGTCAAAGTTATTGTTTCTTTTATGTCTCAAAATACTGCAGGTCATTCAGAAGAGGACTTCTTCAGGCAGCTTAAATGATAAATAGTGACAGATTCTAAAGAGAAATGACACTGGTATTAGCAGTGATTTCATTTGTTGTGAAGTTGACAGACATGATGAAAAGGAACATTCCTCTGCACCCACTACTAGTCCACCTCTGACCTTGGAGGCAGCTGTCATGAGCAGCTCTGCTCTTTGCTGGCCTGCACTCACAGTGTCTGTGACAGGCAGAAGCTGAAACCCCTTCAAATAACCTCTTGCACAGTAAAACAGCACTGTAGAAAATTGGTTGGATTAAGGAAATCTGGGTGAACTTTCTGCAAGCAGTGCCTGATGTGAACTGGAGTGCCACAGGGACACAACTCAGCCTGGCTTTTCAGAGTGCCTGATACCACTTCAGGAGAGATATATACATAAAAGTTAACAAGGTGAAAAGTTGAACCCCTGGATTACTGCTGCTATTCCATGAACGCCCTAACATAAGTCTTTGGTGTGTCCAGCTCTAGTTGTAGCTTTCTGATATGTGATGAGTTTCATTTTAACCCTAACAACTTTGTATTTTCATTATGAATATGGTTTGCTTTTATTTCCCTTATCCCCCCCTTTTAAAATGCTCCTGCTTTTTCAGTGTAAGAACTCCTTTTAATGTTGTTTCTTTTTTCTGGCTTTTTTTGATTATAGAGCTAGGAACTCAAGTGTGCATTAGAGCAATGTAACTAGGTACCTGTGTTGAATGCAGGGCAGGGACTAATCAACTTAAACCATGGAAGGCTCTGCATCAAAACAAACTTGCTGAAAGGCTACCAGTGACAGCAGAGGCTATAAATACTACACTAAAATAAACTAAGGAAAAGTTAATCCAGTATAATGAACTGATCTGGGACCTCCAGGAGAACAACAATGAAGCTGCAGCCACTGTCTTTGCCACTGTTGCTATCTGGGAGAAGGATCTCAGTGTGAGAGAAGCAGAGAGCAATTACTACAAATAACCAGAGATAGAATGTTGCTTGATGGGCTCAATATTGAAGGTAACTCAAAATTAATCCAAATCTTCATTCCAAGCTGGAGCTGACCTTCCTGGGTCAAAAAGACTCAAGACAATGGGGGGGAAAAGTCAATGGAAAACACACACAAACCTATTTACCCACCTCCCCAAATAACTCTGACAAGGAAACAAATGTTAGCACTGGGGAAAAAAAAAAAGGCAAAAAAAAAAAAAAGGGCAAAACAAAAACTACAACCAAGTTCATATTCAGCCAAAATCAAAAGCATAAAAGAAATGCAGGGAAGTTGAAATTACAGAGTGAATATTCAGACTACTGTCTAAAAAAAAGCCTTCAGAGTTTTAATTCCAGTAAGCAGAAGTGGCTTCTACAAGAATCTCAACACAGACACTTAAGTACTTTTGCTTAGGTACTCACTCTTACCCCTGACGGAGGAGAAGAAAATGTAGGACCTGGCTGGCCAAAGGATCTTGCTGGTGTAGCAATAAAAGATGCGCCAACATTTGGTGGATAATCTAAATAATGGATTACACACATTTCATTAAAATCTTGGCTCATATTAATTACATTAATGTGCTGAGTAAGCAATGCCCCATTTACATAGTAAATAATTTCATAGTCTCTACACCAAATTATGCACTGTTTTGTTGTATTATGGAAACAAGCTATTGTTTGAAAGAAAAAAAGTCATATTTCAAAGAGCACAGTATTGGCTTTCTTTTTTTTGTGCACAACTTCTCAAAATTTTTCCTTGGAAACTTTTATCACATTTTATTTTAAAAACACAGTTCTCCTCAGAGACTGATTTCCCTTTCAACTAAAAGAAATGTTTTTAACTACTGCACATACAACCATTCACCTTCGATACCAGATGGACTGAAAACTGCTGCATTATTTGGCGATAAATGCAAGGTTCCATCTGCTGAGCTTAACACACACCGGATACCAGTGCTGGAAAAGAAAGAAAAGAACTTTAGGGACATGCATGACATACCAAAAATATTGAAGCTTCATTGTTAGTCAGTAAATTCCCAGTGGAAAACCACTGAAGAGATACTCTGTTAGCAATTCAGTTTGAAGAATTCACTTTAAAATAATACTTACTTATCTGAAAAAGCCATACATTTTTGAATGTGAAGACTTCCTTTAATGTGCTGATCCCAGTCCTATGTTGAAACAAAGAGACAATGAACACAGGAAAAATCCTGAGACAAATTTACTAAAGATTATTCTTCCATTCAGTTTACCTTACTTTAAAAACAATACTGAAATGCTGAAGATCAAACCATATGATGTCAGCGCCAAGCACACCTTCAACTAATGCATTTACTGGTTCATTATTTGAATGTTAAATTATCAATTATTTTACAAAAGGAAACATTCTCTGTATTAGCTTTTGAATTCAGTGTATTTTTAGTAAGGGAGTTATTTCACTCTTGACAAGACCTCATCCTGCAAGGTGCTAAGCACCCTCCATTCCTGCAATGTCCATAAAGAATGTGTTCAGTATTCAAGGCAGCCAGGACAGTGCTTATTATTTCACTAGATCAGCAACATTTGTTGAAGTACATTCAGCTGTTTACATTTCTATACTCCAATTGAGGCAGCGCATTAAACACCAACTCACAGATCTCCCGAAACTCACAGGCATTCCCCCTGCACTTTTTAAGTGTTTAATGAAAACAAGAAATGCCCAGCATGCCCTTGACAGGGTCTGCTTCAGCCCAGCCCCACAAGCAGCAGTAACCAAAACAAAACCTTTTGCAAGCAGTTGCTAAAAGTGTGAAAGGTAAACATGAAAGCAAATATATTCAAATATCCCAAATCCCCAGGGTGTGTAGGGATCAGGTACTATTTAATCTGCTGGCCATTTTCCTTCTTACATACATGCTGTTATAATTTTATTGTCAGGCCACCATCAGCATGAGAACACATGCCTTTGTGGTTAGGTGCTGGTCCTGTGATGTGACAGAAAAGGTCATAAGGACTTGTTGAGCAGGGCTCACCAGGAGGCCAGAACAACCATGGATGGCTGTAGGGCTCAGAGGGCCACTTCAGTGGCATTCTCCAGATCTGACCTAAATAACGTGACCTCCAACACACTGCCTAGGAAACTGGGAAGCTGTTTCTTGAGGGTGAGGTTGAATTTGGAGCTCCCTTGGCAGTAAGAACAGAGAAGTGAGAGAGAGCACAGTCTGTACCACATGAGCTGACCAGCTTCGTGCTTTCAGATCAAAGTCCCTGGGGACTTTGAGCCCTAAATTATCCTGTGAGACACAAGGAAGAAAAAATTCCTACAGAGGAATAGTTAAAATAAGTTTATCAAAAAATGCACTGGTTTGTTTAAGCAAGCTGTTTCCATGAGGCTGTGTTAGGACGAAGCCTTTGGGATCAGAAAAAGAGAAGCAGATGAAACTACAGACTTGGGGCTGCAACACTGGCTTGAGTATCGGGGGATCAGCTTCAAGCTCCTCCCCACCTCACTCCAGGCCCATGAGGTGAGCTAGGACTTCGGCTCAGACCTCACGTTTCCCACATCAGTGCTGCAATCTCACCGTCTTTCACAGCAGCATGTGGAACAAAACTGGATCTCGAAGCCCCAGTAACTGCCATGAAACAGATGTTGTACCATGCCCTCAGCAAAACTATGGCCCTTTGTTTCTGCGTCTCTCAGGGCAGCTCTGTGGTGATGGACACTGGCAGTGAGGGGTGGCAGGAGCTGGTGGACAGATCAGTCACTTAACAGCCTGTTCAAGGGTCTGAACCGTGCCCAGGGACGCCCTCAAACCACTCACCTTCAGGTCGAAGATCTTCTTGTCGCACAGGGCGCAGATGTGGGGGAAGTGGAGAGGGGCCACGCCGCGCAGGTCGCCAAGCTGGTGCGGCGGCAGGGAGCGGGTGGGCAGTTCGGGCGTGCCGCCACTGCGCTCCTCCTTCTGCCTCATGCGAGGGCTGCCGAAGCTCTGCGCGCTGTGGTTGAGGCGGCCGAAGGCGGGGGGGGCGGCCGTGCTGAACTTTGTGTCAGGTGTCGGCTCTTCGGGGTTGTACAGCTCGTTTCTTATTTCATACTGCTGCTGACTCGCTGACGGCCACAGGCTGTCGCCGGGCATGAGGTCAGGCTTGTTTTGGCTGGGGAAATTAGGGATATTTTCCCACTGGTTGCTTGTACTGCTGCCATGCAAGACAGGGCCAGGATCTCCTTTCGGATGGGAGCCCGTGTGTGGATCGCCGGGGAAGGCCCGTGCTGCACCATGCTGTGCTGCTGTCCCGTAGGACTCCTTGGGAAATGTTGCTGCTGCCTCGTGCTGCAGCTGGCCGGGAGCCCCAAAGTGACTCTCATAGCGTGGCCCTGCTGCTGGGCTGGCAGTGTGGGTGCCACCAGCAAGGAAGCCGTGCTGGCTGGACTGTTCCCCCTCCGAGGCGAATGCCTGAGAGGCGCCAGTGATGGCGTTCTGCTTGTTGTACTCATAAAAGCCTCCTGCAGCAGTAGATGTGGAAGCACCTGCCTTGTTGAGACCCACTACCACGGGTTGCTGGCCGGAGGTCGGAGCCATGACACTTCCAAAGGGACTCATGACAATTGCGTTGGTCTGGGCCTGGACGGCTCCCAGACCTCCCCCTGGGGCAGCTAAGGCCGGGCTCTGGGCAGGAAAGGCAATGCCACCAGAGGGGAACCTCGTGCCGGCGATGCCGGGCCCCTGGGGTGGGCCTGCAGAGTGGCCTTGCGGGGCGCTCATCACCGTGGGGTGCCTCAGCTGGTTGAAGAGGGGCTGCGACATGGCCACTTTGGAGAGCACCTGGTTGAGGACAGTGGCAGCGGCCGGGTTGTTGGTGACAGCAGTCTGAGCCAACTTCAGCCTGTGGAGCGTGAGCTGTGCCTGGAGCTGCGCCAGCTGCAGGCTCGCCGGCGAGGGGAGCAGGGGGCTCGGGGCGCCGACAGAGAATGGACTCTTCTCCAGGAGCTTGGCAGCGCTGCAAAGGATCAGCATCTGGGTTAGCCAAATTCACCCCATGCCTACCTACGCTCACCTCCTGTTAAAGCCCAGCATGGGATACACACCCACTGCCAGAGGTTTAGTGTGTCCAAACTCAGGGAAAGCAAAGGCCATACAGGCCCTCCCACACCATCCCCGAATCAGAAATTTCCCCCATTTTCTGCACTTCATGCAACCTCCAGCCTCCCTGCTGATACATCACTGATCCTGACTGATTTTGTGATACCATCATTATTCCCTTTTCCTACAAAGCAGGCAGATGCGAAGAAGAGGACATCAAATAGGATTTTAAAGTCAGGCCCACAGGTATTTTTCCCACCTGGCTGCATCTGGCTGCATAAAACAAGAGAAAATATTCCACATTGTTTACAGTCCTTGTGTTATTCATCTGCACAGCAGCTTGCTCTGTAACAAAGCCTATAGTTTTGCAAATGCAAATATAGAGGAGGAAAAAAACTGAATGAGAAGCAACTACAAACAAGCTGTCCTCAAGAGTTTTCCCTGTTCAGCTGGAATGTAAGACAAAATTTCTGCAGTGCCAGCTGGTGAAAATCAAGGTCTTTATACTTCCTAGAAATAAGAGGTGCACTGAGTGTTGTCCTTCAAGTCTCATATATGAGATGAATAAATTACTGAATTGCCTGCTTGAATTCTAGAGTTGGGAAAATAGGAGATGATTTTTTCAGGCATATGGTGGTTCCTTTCTTTGGGAAACACCTTTGAGACATCTCATCAGTTCACAGCACCACCACCAAACTATCATTTTCATGCTCCTACTGAAAAAATGTTATCCTTCACTTTCCTCCACCTCTGCTCACAGACAGCACAGCTACTCATTGCATTACAAATGGCTGTTCATTCTGACAGTGAGAGTAGAGAACACTCACACAACAGGGATGTGGTCCAAAGCTCAATTAATTTATATTGTAAAAATGTATTGAGTTTCAATTGAGGCCTTTCAAAGTAGCAGGAACTATGCATCAACCACCACGCAACCCTCACTGTTAATAATTGGCCAATTTGCTAAACTGCATGGATGAAGCTGTAGTTAATGATAAATGTCTTGTCAGCATGCTACATTTGAAAACCACAAATTAGGAAAACATCTGCTTAAATCCAAAGTATGACTAAGAGAAAATGAATGGGTTTCATATTTAACATTTAACTTCCACTAGCAACTGCAAGGCACATCTGTCTCCCAAAACACAAAACACCGTTTGGATAAATCCATCATTATGTAATGACACGACTCCCTGCCAGCACAGCCTGACACCAGTGCTCAGCTTCAGAGCTGAGGTGCCTTTTGTTTCCCCATGTGGTTTCCATCACTTACTCTCTGACTTGCACTTACAACCCAGTTTGCTGTAAATTTGATTATGGATGAGAGTCAGGCGCAAGTACAGTCAAAACAACATGGAGGCCTCACAAACCCCAGCCCAGGAGATCCTGAGGACCCACAAAAGCTGCTGAGGAGTGCATGTGGCACGAGCAGGGGATGCCACAATGCCACAGCACTGTCATTGCTACCAGGGGACATGGCATGGCCCTGTCCCTAGGCTGTATGTGCCACCAGCACCTGGAGTGTCCTGACTCATGGCGCATTTTCTGGCATTTACCACAGTCCTGACAACTGTTTTAATTTTATAGCTAGTTATACCCTTTGTTCTTTAAGGAGCTGCAAAACTCTTTAAAAAACTTTTACAAAACAGGCAAATAAGATCTGCCCAGTGGTCTCAAAAAGAAAAGCCAGCAGCATATAATGTTTTCAGCTCAGGAGCCACAGATGACTCCTGTTCCCAGCAATCTAATTCCACTGTGCTGTAAGCCTACGCAGCAGTGTGCTTATCCCAACAGCTGCAGCCACTTCCCAGCTCTGGTGGCTACCTGCTGGACATGGGCACAGGATCCCTCTCCAAACCATCTCACTTGACACTGCCACAAGCCCTGAAGCGGCCTCAGCCTCCTCATAACTTGACCAAGTTTGGAACACTACTTCCAAGGATCTGCATTCCTGGTTGGGGCAATGCTCTGGGTGCTGGCTCTCCCCAGATCTGTGCTTGCTCCTGGGATCTGCTGCTGGGTATGGGGAAGGCAAGGCCAGGAGTGCCCTGTACTGTTACACTGGAAATGCTCTGGCCATTTCAGACCAACAGCCTTTGGACCCTACTGTGGAGCAGGGCAGCACCAGCTCCCTGTGCCTGCTGGCTTCATCCCTGGATTGCAAGCCAGCAGTCCAAACCAAGGAAAGACTGGGGCTGCAGGAAACCTTACTGAAAATGAACATTGCATGAAGAAGCCACAGCCTCCAGTCCACTTAGAGAGGAACAGAATAAGAGGGTTCCCATGCTCCAATAGGTTTGGGAATGGCCAAACCTTCAAAATCCATGTCTATTATGAACTTCCAGATTTCAGGGTGTTTTGGATTGGAAAGGTTATCCTCCCCCAGCAGAAACAGAATATTTTATTATCTAACCAAGGCAAAGAAGGAAGTGCTTGTTCTTGGGTCAGTGGGAAAGCAGATATGCAGACAGAAGGTTGGAGAAAAGCTGTACATAAAGCATCTTTTAGAGAGATACCCAAATTTGAGGATTTCTGTTCTGTTGTGAAATACACAGTACAAGAGGAACACTGGGCCAGCATGCACAGCTTTGAAAGTTTCTTTCTATTCTACTACCCCAATGTTTATGTATTTGATAACATAATTTTGTAAATAATCTTGCTGCATACTGGAAAGTGCAAACACAAGGTGGGGATAGCACTCAGCTAAGGTATTTTGTGGGTGCCATTCCCAATTTGGACACACCTCCCACCCCCAGCTCATCCTCAGGTTACCAAAAGGCAGCCCCACCTGCTCGTGGGGGGTCTCTGCCACAAGATGATTGAAAGCAGCTGAATGAAGCTCTCATTCTCCATCAAGCGCTCAGGGAATTGACCTACGTCAGACAGAGTTAGCTCTATCCTGTGCAAAACATTCCCGATTATAAGGTCAGCAATGTAAAAAGTAAACAGAAGTTGTCCTCTGCAATTATTTATTTAACACCCGCTGTACAGCTGGCCCACACCAGCACCACTAGGAAGGCCAGAAATGGTCTTTCTTGCTGAAATAATGACAGGCAGGAGTGCTGCCACACAGTTAGAACAAAGAAATCCATAGCCCGGACAAGTTTTCACACAGCTCTGAGAGACAGGAGTTGAAATTGTACATTGATATCGCAGCACTCACAATGGGATTGCAAACGCTGGCAAGGTCATATCACCATTAATCAATTCAGCCCACCTGCTATCCCTGTAATCTTTATTATGCTTTTAGTATCCAGGAACAGTGTCAGAGGTAAGGTATCTAGATGGCTGGATTATTTGAGCAATCCTGTCTACAAGAGTGATGAAAAGGTTGACCACAAAACATGTCTATTAGAACAGACCAACAATCTGGAACTTGATTTTCAACTGACAAAATAAAGGGTTTCAAAATGCTGTCCAGCACCTTTCAAAATTAGGAAAGAAATAAAAAAAATCTGGACTAATAAATTAATGATCAGAGTTGCAACTATTTATATATTCACAAATCTTTGAAATGCTGCATAAGGTGTGAATTTGAATACTTAAAAAAAACCCCTAATTCATAGCAGTGCAGAATTTTTCTTTTATCTTCCATGAATCTTTCATATATTCTAAGATTTTTGCACTCCCTCCCCGAGACATGTCTTTACATATAATTACACCTACCTGTCAAAATATTCGCATGAGAAATTTTTAATTATTTTTGTTCCAGAGTGTGCCCTTTTTTTTTCCCCAAGCAGTCTGTATTACTATGTTAAAATGACAAGGACGTTAATGTGCCCAAGTGTCTTAAACATTACATCACTCTGCACTAGTACAGTATTGGATTTAAATGTGTGCAGTGGCATGCTGGCTTTCCTAAAGCTCCTTCTGATTCAGTTAGCAAACTTTAAATTAATAATCCAGGGCCCCTGAAAACATCACACAGAACCATTTCCTAATTATGCAAGCACAAAATAATTCTGTTATACAGAAAGGTGAACATATCCCTTCCCTGTAATGCACTGCTTATGCGAAATATATTGGGCTGCCTTCTCTAAACCCATCCAAAACAATTGACACCATACTAAAAAAGAAAATAAAAATGCCTTAAAAATATACAAATCAACTGTTTGATGATGAAGTTGGCAAGATATTAGGGGTAGATGTAGTTTTCAAATTAAAATGCATAATTTGACAGTACTTCATTTAAATTGCATGTTTGTATGTGAGGACATAATCCAGCCTCTTGAACACAAGGGAAATACAATGTCATATTTCAAACACAGTTAGGAGTAAAGACAAAGTTCAGCAAACTCCACAACATAAATGAAATATAATTAAAAAATTTTAATATAATAAAAATTAATTATTATAATTACATTTAATACAATGCTGTTTTGCTGATCTTATTAATAATACAGGGTCTATATTCACTTTTGCTTGTTGAATAAGTCCAGCACTTTTACCAAAAATACTGGAGCACTGGTTAAAAAATGAACTCTGGAACTTTCTCCTATACCATTAGATTGTTTCTGGCTGATACTAAATAACTGTTCATTTTCCCTTCAGCTCCATAAGAAGTTGTTTTGGTTTTTGGGGGATTTTTTTTTTTTAAGTAAATGAATTTCTTGGTTATAAAAGCTTGGAAAGACTGCTGAAAGAAGAAAACCTTCACCTTCATAATTTAAGCTCTGAAATCATCTATCACCAATTTTTTTTCCTAAGTTCTGGTTAAAAATGATAAAAAAAAAAGAGATCATGTTTCCGAGTAAGTTCAGCTAATGACGGGGAGCACTAAAAACCTTAAGCTATTTTAATACATGTATAAGCTGCAAGTAAAACCTTTCTTATCCCAAATAATGATTTCTAAAGCCTTCCATTACACTACTGAGAGAGGAAAATAAAACATCAGCCAATGTATACATGTGCTTTGCC